AACCCGCTGAACCAGTTGAAGAACTGAAGTCACCAGACGATTCATTCCCTATTCCTTTAATCCAGGTAACATTTCACCATTCTTTATTTCAAAACGATGAATGTGTTAAGGCGGTGTTTAAGTCAATTCGATTCCACACAGTCCCACTCAAAATATTTCACACTGCAAAGATTTAAAATCTCCAGGTGATTTGTCCTCCTCGATGATTTGCACAATATTGTTCATGATACCTGTAACATTTTAGATGACTCTATGGACCCACAAGGCTGAACAGCTAGGCGACTCTACTCCTGGTCACGTGCAACCGGGGATTCGAAACCACGCCAGTTGACTTACAAGCCTTATGATACAGCACACACGTGCTAACCATTCGGCCATACAACCCCCCAATAAGCTAAGAGAAATCTTAGAAGATATTCTTTAAAAGCTGGAATGGATTAAACATTGAAAGCGAGTCGGTTTCTTTCGATAGAATTCTCTTTGGCCTAGACAATAAAATTGGTATTAATTTGCTGTTCCTTATTAAAGACAATAAAAAATATGAGATATTTTTGCCAGAGTTTCCACTCACCTTCATTTCAGTAAATCCAAGGTCAGTTTAGAAAAATCGCTACGCGGGATTGGTAGAATTATTGATGGTCACGCGTGACGAAACAACTACAGAATGGTCAAAATTAATAACTGCTGAACACATTGATACTGCTACACGACACATTAGAAAGAAGGCTCTCCCAATCTCTTCAGTTTGCTTTTACACTTAAATTTATTCAATACCTACCAAGCACGGGTGCCCAGACATGGAATAATAAGTTTGGTGAATTTATGGTTACAATGAGAAAATTAAATGCTACTTTTGCTCCCCATTATGATATGTAGGCTAATTATTAACGACAGTTGATGACAGTTAACAATAAAGACAAAATAGTCCTTATCGGGCGGGTGGTACTTTTTACCGCTGACCAAATGCTTTTTACCGCCGACCGTCGTGTAATTACCGCCGACCGCATTGTAATGACTTTCGACCGTAATATAATTACCGCCGACCAAATACTTGTACCGCCGACCAAATGCTTAATGATTCCTTCTTACCGCCGACCAAATGCTTAATGATTCCTTGTTACCGCCGACTATTTTACGGTTGTTTGGTTTTGTTTGTTTGTTTGTTTTTTTTTTGGGGGGGGGGGAGGGTTATAAAAAAGAATACAACAAGAATGTTATTTTTTATTTGAGGTGTAATCACGTAAAACTGTCGAAAAACATTCATATATATTTTAAAGAATATAGAAGGACAAAACTACAATTTAGATATTGAAGGGCAAATATATCAAGATTGTTCATAATCTCCAGAAAAATACAGGGTAGATCTTTAATTAATTGAAAATTCACACACATATACAGCTTCTCAATTAATTCTGGATTATGAACTTTGTGGTCGCTATAAAGCATATTCTGTTTCTGAGCAAAAGTGGCTTTGTTTCAGCGAAGAGCAAAAAGAAGAATGTTTTGCAAATTTTCTTAAAGACTCGAAAAGGAAGCGCGACGAAGAAGAAATTATTTGTTCAACAAACAAAAAATTTTGTGTAGTAAAGAAAGCAAAATTACCAGCCAAAAAAACCCATCAAACCAAAAGGTGTAGAAGTGTTCGCACTAATAGAAGATAGGCCTAAAATGTTATTTATTTATAACCAGTAGCTGAAACAATCTTGATATATTTGCCCTTCAATATCTAAATTGTAGTTTTGTCCTTCCATATTCTTTAAATGAATGTTTTTCGACAGTTTTACGTGATTATACCTCAAATAAAAAATAACATTCTTGTATTCTTTTCTATAAAAAAAAAAAAAAAATAGTCGGCGGTAACAAGGAATCATTAAAGCGGAAATTGCAAATTTTTAAGTTATATTTTTAAAATTTATTAAAATAAAGCCTGAAAATAGATGGTATCCATAAACAGTCCTATCTTGTTAAAGAATAATCCTATAATTCACTATTGCCAGCTGAGAAATTGGCAAAAATATCATTTTCCTCTTCATTTTCAAACGTTTGAAAAAAGCTACTCCATGGTGGAGAATAGAAAACAAGGGAGGACTGAGAAGGTTTGATCTCACTTTAACTCTGTACATCTTATCAAGGTAAAACTCCCAGTCGTTGCTTAAGAACATGTGATTGCCCATGTTCCTAAAGCGACGACTGCGAGTTTTACAACTTCTGGATATGATGTACGTAGTTAAAGCGAGATCAAGCCTTCTATTTAAGATGGTGATTGCCCGACCTTTAAATTTGATCGACACAGTTGTTTATGGCTATAGGGCAGAGATTTACGCTCATTAAACTATCCTATAGTTTAGAAAGTATATTATGGGATTAGTCATGTGAATAATAATAGTTCTAAAAAGAAACCCCCCGGATATAAATGGAAAACCAAAGACAACTGTTATTGTTCTCGTACTAGTAGGTTCGGGTCGTTTCTACGGAAGACCAAACAGCTCTTATTTAGTGTTCTTAATTCTTAGGTCTTTAAAGGACAATATTGGTGTCAGTCATTATCACATGTGATATAACTGGTTAAACACGTTCCAAATATAATTTTAACACAGAGAACATTGCTACGATAGATGAGTAATGCAGGTTTCAACAATCGGAAGTGACGAACACGCAAAAGAAAAACACGAGTTATCCCTCTATATAACTGACTGAAGTGACGAGTGATAACAGATACATGGGCGAATTTCTGCTCACTAACAATTCCTTCGAAGACCAAAATTTGTTATACAAGACTAAGAGGATATCTGACAATTCAAGAAAGTAATTCATTCTATACTTTTATAAGGTCCATGGTGACAGTCAATTCTATTTATGAATGGTCAGATATCCTCTCACAGTCTCACACAACAACTTTTGGTCTTGAAGGAATTATTAGTGAGCAGACATTCGCCCATGTATCTGTTATCACTCATCACTTCAGTCAGTTATATAGAGTGATAACGCTAGTTTTCCTTTTGCGTTCGTCACTTTCGATTGTTGAAACCTGCATAAAGCATCTATTGTAGCAATGATCCATGTGTGTTAAAATTATATTTGGAACTGTTTAACCAGTTCTATCACATATGTGATAATGACTGACACCAATATTGTCCTTTAATTCAAATAGTCCTTAATTCTTATTTCTTCATTTGTTGTGGTATTTCGACATGTTTACTAAAATTAACATTTGTATCTTAATATCAATATTTGTTTTAGAAATCAGACATTTGTATCATATATCAGATTTGTAATGTAAATTGTATCTTTGTTTGACTTAATTGTAGGCCTATTTGAATATGATAAAATTTCTTTTAGAAATCAAAAAATTACATTTATATTTCATAAGAAAATTACAACAAAAAACATATCAAATCAACTACGATAACCATAAGAGTGTTCTTTCTTGCTCTAATCTTCCATTTATTTCAGAACTATTAAAAAAAGGAGTAAAGTTCAGGGAATGTTAATCATCTATAAATATATAAAGAACGAAAAAACAATAAAAATTTGTTGTTTTATTCAAAATACAGCTTGTTTTGGGTAAATCTATGGCCCCCTTTTGATGGGCCTCTTTTAAATCAGATTGAAGCCAGGAGAGTATCTACCATTGATATTTTAATTAAATGTTAAATAATAAATTTCAGTACTAGTACATTTTAGCATGGATTTAAGCCAGGAAAATTTCATAATCATCTTTGATAAGTGGATAAGACGCTGGCTCGTTAGCCTGGAGGTCGTGGGTTTGCTCCTGGTGTTGACCAAGAAAGTTTTGAGACTTTCCGGCATGGTTTCCCCTTGTACACATTGGAGTGTATGTAAATGATCCCTTGCCAGTTGGAATTCGATATAAGATTAGGCTGCAGTGCAGCTGCCCGGGTAAAATTTCCCTCATAGCACACTGTACGGCATATGTCCGTCTTTATCAGCCTAGTCGGAGCAGAACAGTAGAACGGTTAGACCCCATTTCATTTACCATAATTTCAATTGATCAAAGAACATTTAATTTTGATAATGAACCTTGGCCATGTGTTATATAGTAGCAAGCATGTGGTGACAGCATTAATTGTAGCAGAGATCTTTCTGGAACTCAAATTGGGTAAGACTGCTTACAAGAACATGCGAACAGTTCAGACTGTCAGATCTTGGTGATGCTAGAAAATATTTAAATGTTTAAAAACACTAGAGCTGTTAACAAACATGAACATTTTACCTTTGAAAAGTTAGAATCTATTAAAGATCTGTTTTTTTTTTTAGCTGCTTGAGTTTTTTGAAACCTATGAACTTTGATGCTGTTAAAAAGTTTTAAAGTTATTTGGAACCGTGTTCCTATCCCTGGGTGATTTTTGCTGTTTAATTTTCATGGATTCCAGACACTAAAATGTAGACATATACCCAGGTTCCAATTGCTATTTAAGGTCAACTCTTTCTCTAAGTCATTCAACCATCAATGATTAAATTACAGATCTATATTTTGTTTCTTTTTTTTTATACTTTTGATAGCCTACATGAAGATCTGACCGGATGTAGAGGGAGGTCGCGTCTATGGTCATACAAGCAGGTTTTTATTCAATGACGTTGGACATTTGACATTTTGATTAACCAATCAACATTCAAGTTTCAAGTTGATATTTGGAAATACAACTTTTGCTTGGTCTTCGCTGCGAATGCCGATCCACAGTTCCGTGCACCGCAGTCCACAAAAAAATTTCATTGGGTAATCCTTTACATCAACCAGAACGTTGTTGTATAACAACTCTTCAAGATCCTAGTGAAGTGAAGACCTAATTGTTGTCTTTGCTGTTTGTTGCCAAGTAGCATGCTTTGTACTGGTGTTTCACAATAAATGAAACTGATAATGCATACAATGAATTGAGAAATAACTGATGTAATCTGCACTCATGTCCTTCGCTACCAAAAAGACAAACAAAATGAATAAAACATCCTAAATTACACAATAATGAAATGAAAACACTTGGTAATAATAAAACAATTTATTCTTCAGAATCATCTTTAGCAACTGCAAAAGGTGTGTCTACTGGGATACTGCCTGAATCAAAAATAACTACTGGTTTTTCTGGTTTATCTTGACTACTTGTTGGGGTATTCTCTATTTTTCTAACAACATTCTGTAGAAAAAAAAAAGGGAAAGAAGAAAATATTGACTGTTAATTGACAACAAAATAAATTGTGGAGACTGAAGTTCAAACAAAATATCTTAATTCATTCTTTTATTATTGGGGGTGGGGGGTGGGGGTGGATGGCCGAGTGGTTAGCATGTGCGCGCATTATCATAAGGCCTGTCATTGAGTCAACTGGCATGGTTTCGAATCCCCGGTTGTATGTGACAAGGAGTAGGGTCGCCTGTTCAACCTCGTGGGTTTTCTCAGGGTCCTCCGGTTTTCTCCAACTGCTAAAGACTGCAAGCGAATTATTGACATAAAATTAAAAACCATATGTTAGTCCCAAAATGACCTAGTTTGTGTCAAGTAGACGTGTGTTGAGTGGACGTTAAACCCCATTTCTCTCTCTCTCTCTCTTTACTGATAACAGTCAATTGTCCAAAGTAAAATAAATGTAGCATAACAAGATGCGTAGCATAAATTTAGATTGTAACAATGTATTATAAAGAACAGAATACATGTATTAAACTATACAACACTTCTAGAAAACAGCTACATACTATTTTATTTGTGCCTGGTTTCGAATATCAATTTGAACTTACCATTCCTTCTAATACCTTTCCAAAAACAACATGTTTACCATCTAACCATGATGTTTTCTTCGTTGTAAGGAAAAATTGTGATCCATTTGTATTTTTACCAGCATTAGCCATAGAAAGCCAACCAGATCCATAATGTTTCAATTTGAAGTTTTCATCAGCAAATTTTTCCCCGTAGATACTTCGACCTGATAAAAATATTTACAATATAAGTACCGTAATACAAATCAACAGACCAACTGGTTTGTAGTACATGTACACTAAAAACAACATAAATGCCCAAAATTTTGTTAAAATATTGCTAATTAGCCTGCTACAAAGTGGGAAAAAACAATACATGAAGTTAAGTTTCTCTTAAAATGGCTAGACCTCTTTGATATGTTATTACAAGAGCATCGCTAACGCTGCAATATACGTCCACATTCCAGCTTTGATTGATATGGTACTTTTTAAAATGAAGAAAATGAAATATGAAATGGCTGTAATATGATCAGAGGCAAAGAAGGCTAGGCGTCGGGTTTGTTTTGCCAAATTTACAGACAAAATACTAACAGTAAAGTGGGTGTGACACTGCCCCAAGAGGTCCGGGCAAGTATCAAAATAAATTGTTGCTGTCTTTATGGTATAAGGAATAAATATGCAAAGTTCCAAGATGATTCAGAATTGCAGCCTGTAGACGATAAATACAAAAACTGGGCGTGGCTCTGCCCATGGGGGTTGGATATGGAAACAATATAAACAGGTACCATCCTGTTATTGAAATGGCAACATCACTAGTTGCCGTCCTTAGGGTATAAGGAATAAGTACACCAAGTTCCAAAATAATCCATTCAGAATTGTGGCCTTTGGGCGTTAAAGGCAAAAATTGGGCGTTGCTCTGCCCCTGGGCGTTGGGGCATTCACCAAAATCAATAGTTGATGCCCTTAGGCTATAAGGAATACATATGCCAAATACCAAGTTGATCCATCCAGAATTCGGGCCTGTAAACGATATACATAAAAATTGGGCATGACTGCCCCTGGGGGTCGTGACATGCAGTTGTCGTCCTTAGGCTATAAGGAAAACATATCCCAAGTTCAAAGACAATCCATTAGGAATCGTGGCCTGTAGGCAACTCACAGAGACACAAAGAAAAAATGGGTGTGGCTCTGCCCCTGGGGGTTGGGCAATCACCAAAAAAATAGAGGTCAGCCTTGGGGTATAATGTATAAGTATAAAAAAGTTTTCAAGATGATCGATTAAGCATTGCAGGCTGTAGGTGACATACAGACACACAAAAAGAAAATGGGTGTGGCTCTGTCCCTGGGGGCTGGGCATTCACCACAAACAATAGGGATGTTCCTTAGGATAGAAGGAGTAAGCATGCAAAGTTTCAAGGTGATACGTTACGAAATGCGGTCTGTAGATAACAAACAATGAATATAAGAAATGGGCGTGGCTCTGCCACTGGGGGTCGGACATGCACCAAGAACAATAGGGATCATCCTTAGGGTATAAGGAATTCATATGAAATTTTTTCAAGACGGTCGATTAAGAATTGTGGCCTGTAGGCGACACACAGACACACAAAGAGAAAATGGGCGTGGCTCTGCCCCTGGGGGTTGGGCATGCACCCCAAACGATAGGGGTGTTCCTTAGGGTACAAAGAAAAAGTATGCAAAGTTTCAATATGATGCGTTAAGAAATGCGGCCTGTAGACGACAAACAAACAAATACAAGAAATGGGCGTGGCTCTGCCCCTGGGGGTCGGGCATGCACCAAAAACAATAGGGATCTTCCTTGGGGTATAAGGAACAAGCCAACAGTGAGGCTGATGTCCCCCGCCGAAATAGGAAAATAATTAGAGAGTTATTGTGTTCCAAAGTCTCAGCAAATCAAATTGCTTATCGCTCTGCTTAATCTGAGCAGAAAATGCTCATTATCGATCTTAGTCAAGGTATTACTGTAATGAAACTATACACCAAGTTTCATCACTCTCACTTAATTAGAACTAAAGTTATAGTGTCCCAAAGCATCAACCAATCAAATTGTTTATCTCTGCTTACCCTAAGCGGAACGGACAGACAAACAGACAGACGGACGAACCCATTTTAATAGTTCCCTGCTTTCTTCGAAAGGCGGGGGACAATAAGCATGAACATTTACTCAATTCGAAGATCAACCAATCAAATTGTTTATCTCTGCTTACCATAAGCGGAACGGACAGACAGACAAACAGACAGACGGACGAACCCATTTTAATAGTTCCCTGCTTTCTTCGAAAGGCGGGGGACAATCAAAGTAGGAGAGTTATTGTTTTCCAAAGTCTCGACCAATCAAATTGCGTATCGCTCTGCTTACCCTGAGCAGAAAATGCTCATTATCAAACTTAGTCAAGGTATTACTGTAATGAAACTATACACCAAGTTTCATCAATCTCACTTAATTAGAACTAAAGTTATCGTGTCCCAAAGCATCAACCAATCAAATTGCTTATCTCTGCTTACCCTAAGCTGAAAATGCTCATCTTCGAACTCCATCAAGGCATTGACCTAATCAACACATACACCAAGTTTGAAAATTCTAGCTCAATTAGGAAGAGAGTTATCGTGCCCCAAAGTATCAACCAATCAAATTGCTTATCTCTGCTTACCCTAAGCGGAAAATGCTCATCTTCGAACTCCATCAAGGCATTGACCTAATAAACACATACACCAAGTTTGAACATTCTAGCTCAATTAAAAGTTATCGTGTCCCAAAGCATCAACCAATCAAATTGCTTATCTCTGCTTACCCTAAGCGGAAAATGCTCATCTTCGAACTCCATCAAGGCATTGACCTAATCAACACATACACCAAGTTTGAACATTCTAGCCCAATTAGGAAGAGAGTTATCGTGTCCCAAAGCATCAACCAATCAAATTGCTTATCTCTGCTTACCCTAAGCGGAAAATGCTCATCTTCGAACTCCATCAAGGCACTGACCTAATAAACACATACACCAAGTTTGAACATTCTAGCTCAATTAGGAAGAGAGTTATTGTGTCCCAAAAAGTGTGACGGACAGACAGACGGACAGACAGAAGGACAGACAGACGGACAGACAGACAGACAGACAGACGGACGAACCCATTTTAATAGTCCCCTGCTTTCTTCGAAAGGCGGGGGACAATAAGTATACCAAGTTTGAAGAAAATCCAGTAAGAATTGCGCCCTGTAGGCGACACAAAGACACACGAAAAGAAAATGGGCGTGGCTCTGCCCGTGGCTCTGCCCCTGGGGGTTGGGCATGTACCCCAAACGATAGGGATGTTCCTTAGGGTACAAAGAATGTGTATGCAAGATTATAAGTTAAGAAATGTGGCCTGTAGACGACAAACAAACAAATACTAGAAATGGGCGTGGCTCTGCCCCTGGGGGTCGGGCATGCACCAAAAACAATAGGGATCTTCCTTGGGGTATAAGGAATAAGTATACCAAGTTTGAAGAAAATCCAGTAAGAATTGCGCCCTGTAGGCGACACAAAGACACACGAAAAGAAAATGGGCGTGGCTCTGCCCCTGGGGGTTGGGCATGCACCCCAAACGATAGGGATGTTCCTTAGGGTACAAAGAATGTGTATGCAAAGTTTCAAGATTATTAGTTAAGAAATGTGGCCTGTAGACGACAAACAAATACTAGAAATGGGCGTGGCTCTGCCCCGGGGGGTCGGGCATGCACCAAAAACAATAGGGATCTTCCTTGGGGTATAAGGAATAAGTATACCAAGTTTGAAGAAAATCCATGAAGAATTGCGCCCTGTAGGCGAACCACAGACACACACACACACACACACACACACACACATACATACATACACACACACACACAGACAGGGGCGACGGCATAATACGTTCACATTATGAATGTGGACGTATAAAAATAAGATTTTATATCATGATTTGTTTAGTCAAATGGAATTTTAGCTTTGTTAAAAGTTTTAATTAACCAATTTTGTACTCCACTGTGGAAACAATAAGACAGAATTAAATTAATCAAGCCAACAGTGAGTCGCTGACGACCTTCCGCTTAAGTACCAAAAAACCAAACAGATGACACTCATTTATTACTTGCACATTAACATTAGAAAAAGCATCAAACAATCAAATTACTTATCACTCTGCAAAAATGCTCATTATCTTAGGTAAGGTATTGGTGTGTTCGTGAAATAGAACACTACACAAAGTTACATTACTCTAACAGAATTAGAATCAATGTTATTTTGTTCCAAAGTCTTGACCAATCAAGTTGCTTAGCATTCTGCTTAACCAAAGCAGATAATGCTCATTTCATCACTATCACTAGCTTATCTCTGCTTAGCCTAAGCAGGAAATGATATAGATTGTCACCTCACACCTAATGAAATGAAATGGTGTTGACAACCTACCTTTCTGCACAGACTGGGCTTATGAAGATGTCACATTATGAACAACCACACCAAGTTTGAACATTCTATTTTACGTAAAGGTAGGAATATTGCATTTCAAAGTTATGACAGTCTAAGCAGAAAATGCTCATCATCAAATTCAGCAAAGACATTCACCTAATGAACACCTCCATCAATTTTGAACATTCTACCTCAATTAGAATCAAAGTTATTTTGTTCCAAAAGATGTGATAGTCTCCTGCATTTATATCTGAAAGGCAGTGGACAAGAATCCACTTAATCTTTTAAGACAGAAATTTAATTGTACAGAGCGTGTCCTCAAAATAACACATTAGACTATCACCAACCCAACTCAATACTTATTTTAACCGAAATCAAAGAGTTTAAGATTCATAAAGCTGGTTCTGTTAACCAATCTTTAGATGTGTCTGGCATATTCGTATAGGTAGCAATAATGCCATAAATTTATGTTGATTGAAATAAAGAAAATGATTACAAATACCTCCGGTGCCATCGCCCTTGGTAAAATCACCGCCCTGAATCATAAAATCTTTAATGACTCTATGAAATTGGCTTCCTTTATAGGTAAGAGTTTCGCCATCTTTTTCCTGACAAAATATTATTAATAAAGAATGTTTACTTAAAGATGCATTATGTAAGAGCTTAATCTGCCTATTGCCTATTTACGTTACATAAATTATTTAGATATTTATTCACATGCCAAGCCCAAAATCAACCCTCTGTCTGTCATATTTACATTAAACATTAAAATGCAAAATCAGGACTTTGTTTATTATCATATAAATCTACAAATGTTTACGCTATTTCTTGTCAAAACTTGAATAAAGTAATTTGACTGAAATTTTCAATATATATTCATTTTTCATTACCTATTTTTAAAGATACTTTCCCATAAAAGTATTTATCAGGTGGTTATTTCCAATAAAAGTATCAATTTTGGTATATATAGCTTCTTTAATCTTTTAATAGATTCTTTTATAGCAGGGGAATTCCCTCGCAAATACAATGTTTTGAGAAGGATTTGAAGGAAAATTTTGATAGATTAATTAGTTTGAATATGGTTCAAGTCTAAATATATCATCAAATCACCCAGTTTGTACGCAGGAAGGTATCTTTAAACTAGTATAGCAAGAATGGGCAGCTCTTTATCTAAATCTTACAGAATGCATATAAATTAATTCCTGGAAACATACTCTATTTTATGTATATAAAGGGGTAATAAATTTGAAAACCAACTTACAAATCCTTCTGCTAATTGTTTAAAGTTAGCTACTGTTTTGGGGACAGTTTTTCCAAATAAACCTATGACAATACGTCCCACGTCTTCATCGCCAATCTTTATATCAAAATAAACCTGAAAATAATCACAATATTGGGTGAGCTCAGGGAATAACGTACAGTTACATATAATTTATTTTTAAAAATAGCATTCTGTAAATATCTTTTGTGCATGTCATAAGATTTAGTAAATTGTATAAATTTAATCAAATCATTGTTGAAGTAAGTAAACCAGGTGTTGACAAAAAAAATCAATTTACCACAACCAATATATTACTTCAAATTTGATAACTAGCTGTATGTCTAAATACTGCCATATAAATTAAGTATTCTTCCTGATTGGGTGGGGAAGGGGGATACCATATCATAAATACATTTGCAAATATTTCCCATAAAACTGACAAACAAATAACTCATCGCTGAATCTGATGCATAATACTACCTTTTGATTAGTCTGGAGGCATTCTTTTGTTTCTATTTATATAATAGTTAAACGTTGTTCCAAGTAATGCATTATCTAGGCTATATAATGATACTACAGTAAACTTCGCATAAGTCGAATTCGTATAAGTCAGATCTTTGCTCAACTCGGATAAAATCGTTTGGACCCTTTGATCCTGCACGTTTTTCTGATTAAATTTGAAACTCGCTGTCTGCTGTACAAGACACTTTCCGGGAAAATTTAGGACATTTTTCAAAGATGGCGACAAAACGGAAGTTATCTACTCACACCAAAACAGAAGTTATCTATTTGCACATACGAACAAAAGCTTGAAATATGCCTTTGAATCAATCATTATTCAGCTCTTGCAGTTTATTTCTAATCGAGCTGAGATTGAATTTCGGTCTTCGGCTAACTCGGATCTTCGCTTAACTCGGATAAAATTGGTCAGTACACTTAGATTCGACTTATGCGAAGTTTACTGTATATCATAAAACACATGAAAATATTTTTCACAAAACTAACAGATAACTTGTAACTTAATATTACCATACTACCTTAATACCATTTTGAATAGCCTAAAGGCACATTTTTGTTTCCAGATCATTGTATATTCTCAAGCTTAAATAAGTTATATACAGGTACTAGGAAGCAAACCAATAAATATTTGAATCTTATTTGATTTCTAATGTAGGGGAAGCCACGGTGGCTAGGTGGTGAAGATGCTGGCTCACTAGCCTGGAGGTCAGGTGTTCGATCCCTGCAATGGCCGAGAAAGTTCATCTGGATTTTCCGACGTGGTTTCCCCTTGTCCGTGGTGCAGAATGGAGGGCCTGACAAGGACAGCTGTCTAGTCCTTCGGATGAGACGAAAAACCGATGCTCCATGTATACATTGGAATGCACGTAAAAGATCCCTTGGCAGTTGGAATTGGATATAAGAGAAGGCGATAGTGCCGCTGCCCGGGCAAAATTTCCCTCATAGCACACTGTATGGTGTATGCCCGTCTTCATTTGCCCAGTATAGGACTCGGGAGCAGAACAGTATAACGTTAACCCCATTTCGTTTCATTTCATTTCTAATGTAGGGGATTAACAATAAGCAGGAAGCTGAGTTTTTGTTTTCATTGTCTTTCATCTTTATTTCCAAATGGCACCCCTTTGAACTACAGTGTATTTCAAAAGTTTCACTGGCCATACTTCTTTACTTGGCAATCTAGCACCTACATGTAGATACTTTGAACTATTCGAAAAAACCTTTACTGTTACTGTTGCACAGATCTCATAGTACTCACAACTGTTGCCATAATGACATGGACTGATCTCGACCAGCAAGTGTCAATCGTCAAATAGTGCTATTTATTGAAAATGACCGGTCACACATAAACGTATAAATCCTATATACATTTTTTATCCAATGGCTATCAAACTTTGACATGATTTTCTACTGAAGGCGCTTCACCACCAGATCCCCTACGAACTTAAGTAGGCCCTGTGTATGGTATGCTATACATTTAGTATTTAGGAAGTTTCAGCAGTCATATCTCCAAAGTTATCCAATGGAATGTAGTAGGGGATGAATACTGATAGGCTACAAAAACTTTTTTCAAGTTTTTGTGAATTTCGTGAAATGTCAGAAATTGTATTACCTACTGTCTGCTCCAGGTGACACTACGACACGAAAATTGCTTGCCATTTCTTCAATTTTTAATCAAAACGGCTAAAATTTAGTGACATACCTGGAAGTCCCATCCCATTACTTTCTTACACGAGGGAACCAATTTCAGATCAAGCTATATAACCTCTCTCTTGAAAAATCATGGTTTGTTTACATCGAGCTACTGAACATCAGCCATGTTTGACCTAGTTATCTGGAATAGTTGATTTGAGCGGGGGCGCTGGTTTCGCTTTGAGTTGTTTTTGCCTATTTGGATGTTAATGAAGTTGTTTCCACCCAGTAGAATATATTATAACTTTCATTTTTATGGGATTGAAGACCACAGTTGTTTGTCCAACTGACTCGAATATTTAATTGGCCCCTAAGGCTGTAGGGTTTTGATATTGATATAAACTACATACAAATTTTATCCTGAACTGAAATGTGATGGAAATTTAAGAGGCGGCTATAGGCGTACACAATAATAACTCGGTTCATATAATAATGCGAAAGTAATTGCGGGTTGCATAGTCACTTATTCCTTTGCTTAAAACTTTGTCTTGAGAACCCTCGGAAATTTTAAAGTTGAATTTAGGCTGGAGTGATGATAAAACTAATTGTATATGTAACCTAATTTCTCATGAAGCCTGCAACAAAAGCAAAAACGATTTTTATATAATAATTATGTCTGGCGCATTATCGCCCAGTTGATGCTGGCGTGCCATTAAACATCAATTACATCATTTCATCTTACAATCAAGGTTATGCATTGCAGAACACGGAATAATTTTTTATTTTTCCGGTTTTATAGATGGGCCCTCCTTTTAAATGGATTTTTTTATGGATGTAATTAATGCGTAGGCAATCTCATTTTTTAGTACATCCTTTGACATCTCGCGTAATATTCATCTTGAAATATTAAATTGTAGATAACAATAATACCGACATATATTTTGCAAATAAAAATGGTTTAGAAACAGCTCAGAAAATTATATAAAACTATAACTGTTATGCAGTCATGACAGGTTTTGCACAGGTGTCACTTAACATATTCCCATGAGCATGATACACCTATAAAAATTTTACATGAAATGGCCATTTACGATAGCATATTGACGTGTGAAACCCTCACAAAGTGACCAATGCCTGATCGTTTATCTACAGTAAATTAGTAAACATTATTATTAAAGGGTATAGAATAACACTCTTTAAAAAAACAAAACAAACATGTTTGCTTTAAGGTTTGAAATTATAGGTTTGTTTTTTTTTTCAAAATCACTATAGATGTATAGAGCAAAACAATGTAAAAGGTACTTTTGGACAATTGCATCAAGTTATAAACTATCTTTGATATCTATATGTTCATATTGATTTGTGTTTAACACAAGTGTGAAATCTAATAAGTATTTACTGCTGCAAAAGAAATGGGCGAATTTTCCATCACTAAATAAATATTTCTAACCGAATAGTACCCGATTTGGAGATCCCTGTCTACCCTTTACGCGAAATGCAAGTGTCCCATTATGCCGTCGCACTCTGTAATGTTTATGTTTTGAGAAAAAAACAATGTCGAAATATGTGAAATTTACAAGAGAATAGTGAATTCATTGAATTTCTAGGTGTTAAGGCTCCACGAAGAGAGCAATGGGATGACCATTTCAGGTATGTCACCAAGTTTGGGCCGTTTAAATTAAAAACTGAAGAAATGGCGAGGAATTTTAGAGTCAGAGTATCTCTTGGAACAGACAGTAGGTGAAGGGATTTGCAGTGACCACTCCGCGTTGCAAACATTTAACCATTTTACCCTAGCCATATCCTTTAACTTTCTTGTAATAAAGTTAAGATGGTCCACAGAGTCTTACAGTCAGTAACCTCTTCATTCAGTAAATGTGATCACCTTCCAAGCTAAATAATGCAGCCAAAAATATTTAGTTGCTTTCCAACAATCTTAACACTGAAGGCTACAGTTGCTCTTTTAAAACGACCTAATGTGTTATTTGCCTATTGTCTGAACCACCGTAAATTATAAACGGATTTCTTCGATTATGAACAAACTACTTGACTTTGGTTATTATAAACTTACCTGTGTGTTTGAAATTACCTCCGGTTAAATAAAATCCATTGTACAACTAAATATCCCAGCGAATAAAAAAGTTCTCTCTTGTAAAATTGAACTCATCACAAACTTTGACATCGAGAAATCAAAAATGGAAGCTAATTACGTCACTTGTCAGGACAGATCATTTCGTATAAGGGGGTCTCAGCAAGGCTTGTCTATCGTAACGGTGTTTGGCTCTTTTACGACAATTCAAATTTTGTGTATGAATAAGCTATTGCTCTCGTGAATAAGCTATTGCTCTCGGACCCAGTAATGAGTTTGGGCGTTTACAAACATAAATACGCCCGTATGGTTAGAGAGTTGGGTGGGATTATTTCTTTTGAACACAGGTGCTGAACAAAAAGAACGACATTCCTTTAATATTTCCTGATGAACTTAAGCAGTCCTGTCAATTAACCTTGGCAATCGGCTGTAACCGCAATACATTTGCCTCGGCAAAATTAATAGCCGAGGCCATTAAATCATTGAATAGGTATAACGTTATTATATTTTTTTTTATAAATACTAAAAATTATTACCAACAACAAATCATAGCGCACAGCGGTTTAATTATCGGCAGATAGTTCCATGTCGTTCTGTTTCTCTTCGAATATTATTTCCGTTGTGCAAAAGCTGTTCAGAATTTTGCGTCTCGGTAACACAATTAATTTCCAAAAATCCCGGCTTCGTTTTGAAATTCACTGGGCAATGCACCATACGATTTTACTCTCGGTTATTAACTATAGGCCTATATTAATTACAAGTACTACTTCATTTTGAAATCCACAGAGAATGGAATTTTCAGATGGCATTTCGTAGATCGCGATCATGCCTCTGCCAAACAACGCTTTAAATTATATTACCGTAAAAGGTACCATACCATATAAGTTATTGTATACTACACTGATGCAGTGAAAATGGTTAAATTTAGTGCGAAACTTGCACGAGTTTTTCCCACGGTCTGCATAATTAACACACAAGACCCAATAATACATGCAATCTGCGATATCGGCTCTTTTGACAAGTGATTTTTTTGTTTTAAATACATTTTTATAAAGACGATAAACGATGTTTAGACATCCCGAACTGTTCTTATCAACAATGTTTCGATTTCAGTATCTATCGAATAAACACCCCAAAGTAATTTAATCAGGAATATTATGGATGTGAACAGTCGGAACGTTAATTAAATATGGAAATTATTGAGAAGCTGTATCCTTTTTTCATAGTTATGATATAAAGTATGCTTATTTATAAATGTTAGCCACATAGTTGCATATAATTGACAGGGATGTAGGGCCTAATTTTAATATATATTATAATACACACTAACACAGGGTATTTACAATTATGAGGTGATGTGAAAAGCAATATTTACGTGTATTTGTGTAATCGGTGATATATTCATTGTGAATAAAAATTTAGTAGACTGACAATCAATTGTTTCCAAATTAATTTTATTGGCTTCAATTGCCACTTTTGTTGTTTGTTGCCCAAACTCAAACGATCAAATAGGTCGCGCGTTGTTGTGATTGCAGCACACGTGATTGTCAAAATTTGTAAACCATTGTCCCCTTCAACATATTAAGATGGTTTAGCTCATCACGTGACATGTACAATGTTATGATGAACTAAGTCGAAAATACAAGCAAAAAAATTTGACTTTTCAAGAGAGAACTTTTTTTTTTTTCGTTAGGAATCGGATATTCAATTGTGCAATGGACTCTATTCAACTGGAGGTGATTTCAAACACATAGGCAAGTTTTTAATAACAATTATTCAGTAGTTTGTTCACAATCGACGAAATCTGTTTATAATTTACCACGGTTCAGACAGTAAATCATGATTTTGATCAGTTTTCAATTTTAACATCGATTGAATAGAAATGTAGCCTAACCCAAGATTTGGGTTAGCCCATCTGAATCTATCAATGAATGAATGCATCCTTAAGCATGCCTTGTTCACTGATCTTGATGCACCGTATCAGTTACATTATTATTATAAAAGCTAATATTATACCTTATCTGAAACTTTTGGACCTTTTGGTTTGTCGTCGCCAGCAAAAACTAAAGCAGGTATAACGATACAGGCCAAAACAGTGAACATGATGATGATAAAAACTCTTTTTCTGGTGGTATTTGATTTAGCTCTTGCGGATGATTTGAATTTAGGTGGTATCTTGATAACTGAATGACCCGAAAGTCAGTTGCATTTATACGTGTCAATCTTTCAACCTGAGTGGTAGTGGTAGTAGCTGGTGGTTTAACGTCGGCTTCCACAATAGTGAAATCGCAGACAATTCAACGTGAACCAGGATGAATAGTTTTAACATGGCGCACCGGCTGAGGTGGTAATATTTTATTGGTTAATATTTTAGTCTCGGATACTAAGACTGGCAATGGTTCATAATTTTTTCATTTTGATATATATCTATTATCTGTTATACTATATCTTTATATACATGTTCATATTGTATGCTGTCCTTAATGGATGTCTTGATACAATAAAATCTTATCTTATCTTATCTTATCTTATTCCATGGGACTTCGTGGAAGCGACTATTTTCACATCTCTATGCTCACAATTAAGGTTCTTACTTTCTCTTATTTTTATGAGTTGACATGCTTAAATGTTATGCCCTCAGCATCGATAGATATTAATCCAACTACAAAGTATAATTTATAGCAGACGACGTGGTCTTGACTAACAAGATGGTATTATACTGCAGAGTAAATTTATAACTTGAGAGTGGCCACTATAGGAATAAATATTAAAGGAGCTAAATCGCTAATATTTGGGACCTAGAAATTGACACAAGTGGGTCGCAACTCATATAATACCGTAATATGAATGTATATAAACTGATTTACATTCAATCGTTTCCGTTTTTACTCTAATTTCAAATCAGTTATGTTCCGTGAAATAAGCCAGCAATCTCAATCGAGTGCAAATTCATAGCGTCTGGTTATTCCAGTCTACATAAGCCGTTTGGTTTGGTGCAATATGTCTAGCCTCGTTCCTCTAGTCTCTTGCTAGAACTGGGGCTGAATCGCATTATGGTACACGATTCGTGTACCAATGGTAAAATATTTATTTTGTCTTAAATATTGGATATCAGAAGCCCACCCTTTTCCGGTAAGATCACAGCATCAATGTTGTTTTAAATTGACAAATAATTCGTGTTTTAAATGTTGAAGATTTTGGATGATATTGATTTAGAGACTTAGCTCCTTTAAATTTAAATGCAAATACACAAGTTTCAAATTTTAGGCTTTAATTATGAATGAATGATATGGGGTATTTAACGTCCCACTTGGGTGCATCAAACGCACCGATTTTTCAAAAGTTTTGATATCACTAGGGGTGCTAGTTCCAAATTATGTCTAAAATCATCCCTAGATTTTTTTTCAGATTTTTGGTTCATCGTCTAGTGGGTCCACACTGGGCTCAACGTTTTGGTCAGTAACTCCTACGAAATTATATGATAGGTCAAACTTGTCAAAATGTTACCATAATTTCACATCACATGGCCATAAAATGTGGCCATCTTTATGTTTATATAAAACAACCCCGATATTTTGTCGCGGGACGGAGATAGACTCTAGACTTGGGGTGTTCGATGGCCGAATGGTTAGCGCGTGCGCGTTGTATCATAAGGTCTGTCGATTGTGTCAACTGGCGTGGTGCGATTCCCCGGTGACAAGGAGTAGGGTGACCTGCTGTCCAACCGCGTGGGTTTTTACCCCCGGTTTCCTCCCATTGCTAAAGAACCCTACGCGCAAGCGAATTATTGAATAAAATTGAACCATATGTTATATGTTAGTCCCGAAATGACCCAGTTGTCGAGTGGGCGTTACCCCCCTCTCTCTCTCTGTTTCTCTCTCTCTCTCTCTCTCTGCAGTATCATAGTGAGATGTCATCAATAATGTGCGTGTTATATGCAGATTAGTACCGAGGATACGATTAAATCTTAATGGTACATCATATTGTGGGGTCTGTTTCTATAGGAAGGATAAACAACAGTGTTGGCCTATACCAGACACGCAATCGGATTGAAGTAAGGTAATATACCATTGGTATAGATATTTATCATGAAGATAAATTCAAAGTTTAATTGATTTTGACCCATCGGATTGCAGTGGGCCAATTAAATATGTGCAAATTGCATTGGTCTTCTTTATACTTATGCTAAACCCTATTAATATTTTGACGGTTCAAGGGGTATTTGTCTTTCTGTAAAAAAAAATAAATATTTTCTTATGTAGATGCTTGACACGAATTGTTTATTTTATTTCACAGATTCATTATATCCCCGTTGGACAAACTGATCTGTATTTGATCAGGGACATTAAATACGCTCCGTAGGAATGTCTCTTTACTAGTAGGCTAACTAATTCTCAAGACGACACTGAAATAATCACAATGCGTATCGTTATTCGACACCATCCTATTCAAATATAGCTTGTAACAGCGTGATTGGTGTTGGTTCATTACAGTGCCTATACATTATTTACGAGTGGGATATCCGATACGTAAAACCCTATATAGACGAATTCTATTACGAGTTTTGCGACGTCCTTTAATGTTAATATTTTAATACGTCCATTTCATTATGAAGAAGGTTTGCTTTGGAATAATGTGCCACTGAGAAATACATGGACCAACGAATATGATTGACATTGATTTAAGGAAAAAATATTCCGAAGAAAAATTTCGCAAGTTTCTACAATTTGTAGGTAAGCACCCTAAGTTACACTTTTTGGATTAGGATTATCCACACCAGCGAACTTATAAAATGTAGGTGTCTAAGACACCGTGTCTTTTGTGATTCATCCGGCCTGCGTTTATTTATTTGTGTGTATTTATAGCAAAGAAAGCATATTGCCCCATCAACATAGGCGTACGAGCTCGATGAAAGTTAGGGGGGGGGGGGGGCAGACCTGAAATTCCCGAACAAATTCTCGAAGGAGCAGAGCTTACTATAGGGACCTCCCCAAGAAATGTTTGAGCCCGTGAATACAGCAACTTCAATGTGGTCCAATATAGTCTAACTTATTAGGTGGCTGATATAAAAGCCAAAAAAACAATCAATCGTCGCTGGGTGTTGGGGCGTAGCCGTTCCGAGAAAATTTACAAATTTAACAGCCGCAAATGCGTTTTCCTGCTATTCTTATAGCCCGTGAGTTAAGCAGCTTCAAAGTTGTCCAATAGTATGCAACCGATATCAAATCGATGTCCGAAAAATGTCGCACAAAGCAGAGTGGCTTCAGATAAAATGGTTTAATCCTAGCCATGTCAGTACAAATTCGTGGTATTCAATTAAACGAAAAGTGTTTTTTAGATTTCGGGCACATTATTTTGCCAACTAGATGATATAATATTTTTTCCCCTTTACCGGTCTGGCTGAAAAGTCAGATTGCCCGAGAGTTAGCTGCTCACCCTGGCTCGTACGCCTATACCCATCCAAGTACCTACCATCCCACTGTCAGGGCCGTCAAACATAAAATGACGTAAAGAAACATATAGGAAAATTCCAGATGTACATTAAATAGCGCTTACAAACAGGTAATCGGGTATAATGTGTTGAATATCACTGCAATCACATACTAAACTTAGGCTGCCTGTCTACAGTTAACTCCACTTGAGAACAGACACTAATAGTTGACCGACATTTTAAGTCCTAAATCGACGATTTTAGTCGAAAACACTAAGTATACTTCGAGAATTTTGAGACGTATTTATTCTGCTTCCAGTTAGTGGAATTGAATAGATTTATTTATAGTCTTTGTGTGCAGGCTATGCCAGATGTGAAACGGAATAGAACCGCATTACAAAACAATATGCTAACAGATTTATTCTCGAAGTTTGAAGATCTGTGTGCAGAATGGCTACAATCAGTGATGAATGTGCTTTGTTATGTTGAGTATACCAAAGCAGAACAAAATTGTATATAGCCATGTGAACTCCTCAAAATAAGATGTGATATGTTCCATGCAAATAGTTACCCCCCCCCCCCCATTTTGTGCACTACGTACGTCACTGCTAATTCCTTTCCTTATCCTTACTTATCCTAAATTACTTTCGAATAATATAATGTTACTTATAACGGTATAAGAGTTAAAATAAAGTCAAAACCTACTTGATTGTAGGGTGTTGCGAGAGAAGTGACACATTTTATGGATTTACAAGCCGGTTGATTGTTCTTGATATGGAATCATAAAAAGGCTACATTAGTATTACTCATTATATATCCACAATGCAATGTTAACATGTTGAAAAATTTGACCCAAATAAATATTATGCGGCAATGTCTATGGTGTCGCTTAAAGGAGCTAAATCGCTAATATTTGGGATCTACAAATTGCCACAAATGGGTCGCAACGTATATAATAATGTAATATGAATGTAAATAAACTGGTTTCCATTCAGTCGTTTCCATTTTTACTCTAATTTCAAAGCAGTTATGTTCGACGAAATACGCCAGAAGTCTCAATCGAATGGCAATCTCTAGCGTCTGGTTATTCCAGTCTACACCGATAGTATTTATGGTGCATGCTCTCCTGATAAGAATATGGGTCACCGTTTGACATGACTTCTGGAATATGTCTAACCTCGTTCTTCGAGTCGTTTGTTACAAATTCAGCTGAAACGCATTATGGTACACGATTCGTGTACCAATCGTAAAATGTTTATTTTGTCTTAAATATTGGATATCAGAAGCCCATCTTTTTCCGGTAAGACCACAACACTAATGTTGATTAAAATTGACAACTAATTCGTGTTTTCAATGTCGAAGGTTTTGGATGATATTGAGTTAGAGACTTGGCTACTTTAAATGGCGACATTTTGGTTATTAACATAAATGTAGTACAATAAACTACTTAAAATAATTTAAGTGGTTGGTTTACTCCCCAGTAAATACATGTAGCGCAGTATCGTTTAAAATGTAACAGCATTAATAAGTATAACGCATTGGTTACGTTTTCTATTTTCCTCCTAGCTTTTCCAGAAATTTGTGGCAATGAATTGTTCTGAAGAATAGTTGGTTTCGAACCGATACCTCCTTAGTCTCAAACATCAACTCTTTGTCGAATAATTATCAATGTACACTTAAATTATTAACATAAATCAAAGAGGTCTAGTTCCTTTAATGATATCTTCCAACGACCTTAATTGGGTCACCTTTTTGATCTTCTAAACTTATGTTTTCTGCACGTATGGTATTTCTGATGATCTGGAAAATAAAATTATAAATTATAGCCTCAAATTACCACTGCACAATTAAATTATTAGATTTATTTAGCTATTTCTTACAGAGCATCAATCACTGAATCTGACATTCGTATCATAGCG